GGGCAGAGGGGGCGGCAGTGGGGGCGAGGGGCAGGGGTTTGCTGGCGGCGGCTGGCAGGTGGATGCTGCAAGGGGTGGGGCGGCACAGGGATGCAAAGATTATTGGATAGTCACAAGCTCATGACCTTACTGAATCACGTGATTCATGCTGTAATGCTGCATGCCCAGCATTTTTGGAGCAGAGGGCCAACAACGCCGCCACGCTGCATGCGGCAGAACCTCGTCTTCCAGGTGCAGCAGTCCAGGGGCATCGCCGACGTGGCCGGCCCAGGCATCTGCCGGGGTCAAGATCAGGCACCCCACCGCGCGTGCGCACGCAGGGCTCATCCCCTGGTCCCCTGATAGTTGCCCCATCCCCGCCCGTTCAAAGGGCAGCTTCCTTGTGTGGAGAGCCTGCCTAACCGCTCACCCGACAGCCACGTCGCTGACCGAGAACTTCCCGCCCTCCAGGTACTCCCTCTCGGCCAGGACCTTGTCCAGGCTGCCGAAAACGTCCGGGAAGGACTTCTCCCTGTGAAAAGAGGTGCGAAGCCATTACACAGTGGGCACGGTGTGGCAAAGGGGTTTTGAAAGGGGGGTACTTGCGCCCAGTCTGCAGGGACAGATGACGGTGTCCATCACAGGAATCCAGGCGCTGTTTCGATTGAGCAGACGGGCCGTTGAGTGGCGGCTTGCGTTTCTTGGGCACCCGGCCACAGGGTCTAGCTGCGGAAGCCGGTGGGCCAGCCGAGAGAGCCATGGGTGAGGCACGGGAGCGTGCTTCCCCCTTGGCGGGGCAGGCAGCGGCGCGCTTGCCCGGGCAGCGACGCGCGCCGCACATTATTTCCTGCCCACCTGAACTGCTCCACAAACGCGGACTGCAGGCGGAGGGGTGGGGTAGGGGGGGGGGGTGGTTGACAGCGCACCATGCTGCCGTGGTGGGCTGTGGCACCCGCACTGTCAGACCGTGCAGGTCAGCCGGGCTGACGGGGCTGCGCACATCAGGCGGCCGAGCTACCAATACAAACCTATCGCGCGCCGAGCCCATCCCCGGCGCGCGTGCGGGCATTGCTGTTGTCGCCATCAACCATCACTGCTGATGCAGCGCCGTGCCCCCGGCCCCCCCGCCCTGGAGCTCCCGCACAACTAGCGGCGCGCGCTTACGTTGGCGAGGGTGCTGTTGGCGAAGAGCGTCCACTGGGCGGCGGCCGCGCGCTGCTGCGGCGTCCAGATGCCGCTCTTGAGGGGGTACTTATCAGCCAGGTACAGCAGCAGGGCGCCGCTCTCAAACTGCGGCCCAGGATGGGGGGGCAATATGCAGGGTGCAAGTTGTTATAGCAACGACAGCAAGCGGCTGGCGCGTGCTGGGGAGGTGGTCGGGTGTGGGGCTGGGCAGGGGTGGAATGCTTCTCGTGATCACGCCACTGGGCGTCATTGGCTGGATGCAGGCGGAGGTCCGGCCCTCAAAATTTGGCGCCGTGGGTCAACTAAATTGGCGTAGAATTGCACGCGCGCTGCACGCATAAGGTCCATTTGCTGCCATCGCCAGGCCCCACTCGCCGGCCCTTGCCCCCACACACCCCCAGGGCCGAGCCATCAACCACCATTCCCAATCCATCACCAACGCCACAGCAAGCAACGACAACCACTCGCCCTTAGAGGGGGCGCACGGCCGAGCCCTTCCAAGAAAAAGTCAAGAGGACGCAGCAAATTTCAACCTACACACGCTGCGACCCCATGTCATCCCGCGGCCCCCAGCAGCCGCACCAGGTTGAAGCCGCCGTCTGACAGGGCGGGCAGCTTCCCAAAGGGGTTGACCTTCAGGAACTCCGGGTCCTTGTGCTCCTTCGCCTTGAAGTCCAGGTCGAGCTGCTGCGCCTCCACGCCCAGCTCCTGGAGGTACCTGCCGACGGGAGGTTTCGATTTTGGGCGCGCATGGGTGTTTATGGTTGTGAGCATGTTGAGTCGCATCAACCTTGAACCCTCGAACCCTGGACCACTTTTGCACCCACCAGTTAACGATGGTGCCGCGCGATGCTGGGTTGGTGTAGAGCTTCAGGTCTGGCTTGCCCAGCAGGCTGGACAAAAAGTTGCCCACCACCTGCAGATGAGAAGGAGCAGGGTTCAAGGCAGGGTTGATTGGGCGTGCGGGGGCTGTGAGTGTTTTGTGAACAACGGAATGCGGATCGCGCTGGAGGGTGGGGAGTTGCGGAGGGGACGAGCGGCCGCCGGTCAGGACTCCATCATCTGCTGCTCCTGCTGCTGCTGCTGCTGCTGCTGCTGCTGCTGCTGCTGCTGCTGGGCGAGCGTCAAGCTAGACATGTCAGGTGCGTACAATCGAAATCGGAGCCGCCTGGCCGCGGCCTAGGTGCGGGGGAGGCAGGATCCCCGGGCGGTGCGCCCGTGCGCACCGTGCGCACGCCTGCCCTACATGGCGCTTTTGATAAACCCGCTCAGACACCCTCAACACGCCCAGCGCCCAATGGGTTGATGCATGACCTCGTGGCTCCTGCTTGAGCCGGGCTACTCCTTTGCAGTGGGTCTACTGATCACCGCAAGCAGAACACACACCCCACTGATCCCTGCGCTTGACAACATCTATCTCAAAATCAGAATTAATTGATGCTCGGAGTAATACACACACAACCCACCAACCCACCCATCCACCCCCCCCCCCACACACACACACATTCAAACATGCAAACACACAAACACGCAACTACATAAATACACAAACACACAAAGCTACAGACTCAGCAAATGTGCAGCCAGCACACGTGAGGATGCTTGCTATAGCATTGCTTCCCCCAAAGCAGCCACCCCTACCCACCTGGGGAACGCCAAAGTAAGACAGCAGGCCGCCAATCAGAGCCCCCACCACCGCCGCCAGCCCCACTGCCCACCAGGCCGACTGCAGGACCGCCGCGCCCGCCGCAGCGACAGCTGCCGACTGGCCTGCCGCCG